GTGAACTAGAACCGTAAAACCGTAAGTTTTTAAGCTTTAACGCGCAATTTAGTCTGATTTTATACACTTAAGTTTTTATATGGAAACGAAAGCGTTTTGGTGACCCAAAAGCGTAAAATCGTAAGTTTTTAAGTTTTAAAGCGTGATTTTGACTGCATTGAATTGGACTACTCTATCAAAATACGGGTGGTTTGCACACAAAAAAAAAACAATTTATATGACTGGTTATTAGTCACATCACATGGAAAATGATTGACAGTAACACAAGGTTGTCAACTCGGTTGAACAAGTGGGTTGAGGGTTGATTGGCCGACCGTTTTAGCCTGGTTTAGCTCGAATATATGGCAAATGTCATTATATTGTTCATACATTTACAAATTATATAAAATCTCATCTAACATATGAGTAATAACATATAACATTACACCAAAATAACATTTCGTACTTGGATCAAACATATAGTGGAAATTCACACACACTTATATAAGATCACTGTTCAAATGTTCAGCATATAATTTCAAAGATTGGGTTGGGCGAAAAGAAAAACTGAAAATAAGTTTATTTCATAAACCAATGAAAAAACGACGCCGTTTGACTTCCAAGCCGATATCTTGCAGCGGGTTGACCCGACGATTGTGTACAACCCATTTTTCTTCATAATGCTAGGTTCAAAGCAGGCCAACCGACAGAGACGGAGGCAATGTGTAAAGAGGAGGTGCCCTGATACACCCATGACTTGAGAGAACAAGGTTAAAAGAGGAGTATTATGAGATTGTTTATAATGAAACTTTTGTACATGGAACCATATCTAGTATTTAGTATTTCTATCATCAAATTACAATTAATAATATGCGTTTAGATTAACTTCAACTATATAGATTAAGTCATAGTCCTTACCTAAATAATAAGTCATAGTTTGTACATAAATCAACTTAGATATTAAATTTCCCATACAATTAATTCTACCTTTTAAATCTCTAACTATTTATATAATTGTTAGTTTAGTGATTCTTATCGTCACAATATCACTAGGTCAACTTATTGTAATAGTATTTAACTATATTTTCCTTTTGAATCTCATTCAAAACGTTTCCTCTCAAACATAGTCGTTAAGTCGCTCGGCTCTACCGTCTCACTCAGCCGAAAATTTAATCGGCTTTCCATGAGCACTAGAGCGTCTTACCGTAATCCGCCGTAGATTGGAATGATTAACAAAATTATAAATTATTAATCAGTAGGATATATTGACAATAAGGTCTTTGATAGTTTAGATGGAGAATATATATCTTACAAGTTTTATTAGAGTAGATAAATGTTGTGAGCCATTGCAACAATTAATAGTTTCTCATATAAAATATATTTATTTTAAAAAATTGGAACACCCTTAAATAAAGTCCTGGCTACGCCACTGCCAACCGACGAGTCGCCCCGTGGGTTGACAACCTTGTAGTAACATTGTCGTAACAACCAATAATTGGTTTGCACAGTCGTGGGCAAATCAGTCACCCACCGAGTTTTCACTACTGCCTTTGGAGAAGAAGATGTCGCCGGTCGGCCAGGAGGAAAACGAACTCGCGCCCAATGCAGTCAAAAGCACGATTCTACCTAGAAGCGCAAAACGGGTAAAATCGTAAAGTGTAGAATCAAAGCATAAAAGTGTAAGTTTTTTACGCATATGGTAAAATAGCTAAAAATCTGTTAAGTACGACATATACTATGTAAAATATGAGTGCACAGAATATAAGTTAATAAATACCTACAATTCATGTCTAAAGTAGAGCAATTCATAGCATTTTAACAAAAAGTTTTTAAACATAGATCTTAACAATAACCACCTTCCCCTCTATGCTAATGAATTTGGGAAGAGGCTAGCTGGTGAATTAGGTTAGTCTATTGAAGCCGAGAAAGCATTCAAGTACCTAGTATGTATCTTTTAATCTCAAATGTATAATATTGTTGGTATTTGACTTTAAAATATATTTAGTATAATGAATTTTATGAAAAGAATACCCATTTAGTGAACTAAATGCGTAAAACGTTTTGGTGAACTAGAAGCGTAAAAGTTTTAAAGCGCAATTTAGTTCGATTTTGTACACTAAAGATTTTATATGGAAACGAAAGCGTTTTGGTGACCTAGAAGCGTAAGATCGTAAGATTTTAAGTTTTAAATTGCGATTTTGACTTCATTGCTCGCGCCCCGCCATCACCATGCTCATCATTTCTATTTGTTTTGTATTTGCTACTGACTGCTTTTGCTTCTCTCTTCCTCTCCGACCCTTGTTTAGTTGTTTTGCAGATCTCCATGATTCTGGTTCCCTATTCGTTTTCTGAATTCATTTGCTAATTGTTTGTTGTGAAAGTAAACCAACGTTTCACCTCCGTCCTGCTCTACTTCGCAACCCTTTCAGCGCTAGGGATCTGTTTGGGCATCCCCTGAACCCAGTCGCCGGAAGGTCTGTCCCTCCTCCAACATCTTCATCTACCCTACGACCCATTCCGCGACACTTGTGACATGAAGAATTGATGGGCTAGAGGCAGTCCTCCTCGGCTGTACCGCCGCTACAGGCCTTTCCTCTCAATTTCTTCTTTCTTGCTTGTGTACAATGAACTATCCGGCCTCTCAAAGGTTCTCCCTCCGACGTGCCTTACAGCTGGTGGGTTCACGTTCCCTCATCCATTTATGCCTGCTAGGTGGTGTGGCTGCGTCGATCTCATCATTATCCGATGGCGGTGTAGCGGTGTTCGGATAACTCCGAACTTGTTTGTTGGAATTGGCTCCTTATTTCATCGGACTATCTGTCTACTATTTCATTGGAATATGATATAAATTTTTTTTGGTTTGCACGAAACAATAAACAACTTATATGAGTGGTTATTAGTCACATCACATGAAAGGCGATTGACAGTAACGTTGTCGTAACAAGTATAGTTAGTAAAATATGGTACGAGAAAGTTACGTATAAAATACGTACATGTATTATATTTCGTCTCTAAACTAAAGTTACGTTTAATAGTACGTTAATAGTCATAGATATATAAAATATTGTAAAATAATATTTAAAAAATAAATAATATTAAAGTTAACAATTTAATTCATAAAATACGGATAATAAACGTGATATATATATATATATATATATATATATAAGTTTTATACGTGCTTAGTATAGGAGCCATCAAATAAACGGATAAAAATGAAAGAGTTGGACAATAATATGAATACAAAAATTTTAAACGGATAAAATACATATAGGTACATGTACACGTATTAAACGGAGTATTTACTAACTATTAACAATAATAATTGATTCGAAAGAAAAAAAAAAGACAATTTATACGGCTGGTTATTAGTCACATCACATGGAAGGCACTGGCAGTAACGTCTCTCACTTTTTTTTTTTTTGACAATATTAACGTCTCTCACTGGTTGTGTTCCTTTCTTCATTTTTATCTCCATCTTTTTTTTATCATTTCTTTCCTTCTCGCCTTTGACTTTTTTTTTTTGACAAAGGGAATACTTGCATTGCACTTTGAATGATCAATTACAAGAGAACATACAAAGCAAACCAAAAATAGAACAAGGACAGAAAAACAGAAGCACATAGATGCTCAATCTGAGCTTCAGAAATACAACAAGAAGAGCACAAAACTCAGAAGGAGTCATCCACCAAAGGATCTGAAACACTTGAACTAGAAGCAGTAAACACTGAAAGCTCTCTTGCAATCAAAACAAACGAAGTAGCACCAAGCGCAATCAGCTCGTCCGATCCGACCGAGTCCATGACGATTGAACACAATGTCATTAGCCGCCTCCTGGGAGTTGCTCAAAGACGCTCAACAAAGTAAATCACGGGTGAGAGATTACATGGCGGTGGACAAAGATGAGGATCGAAATGCTCCGAGCTGAAGAGGCAGGGGAAGACGAGGCTCCAAGACTTGGTCAAGGGAAGCAGAAGAACCCAGATCCCCAGATCAAAGAACTGAACCCACGAGCAGCAAGGCTAGATTCTGCATTCCATCCTCCGTCGGCCACCAAGATGCAGAACAACCACATGGGAAGAACGAAGGGGAAAACCAGAGAATCGATTCACCACAAAAGCTGATAAACCGACCATCATGAGGAAAGACCCAAGATGCATAACCCAGCCCCAAAGGAGAGCAAATCCCAACAAAAAACCCTAGAACAGGGGAGCGAAATGCCAAGAATGGCTTGAAAAGCTTGAAAGCTGGAAAAGCAGTGAAAAAACATCAAAATCAAAGACAAGGAAGCAAATAAAGGGCGCAGGAAGGAAGGAAAGAGGATGGGCTACCGCCGGTCACCAAGAGATGCCGGCGGCAGCCCTGGGGAGCTTCACGGAGAGGGGAAAGGTAGAGAGGGATGAGAGCAAAAATTTGAAATAAAGTTAGAGAGAGAAAAATTTGTAGAAAGATAGAAAAATTGGAGAAGGAAAGCCGATCTTCTCGCCTTTGACTTGGAGTGAGCGATCTGTTTCGTCTCAAGGCTTATGTCGCCATAGCCCATAAGTACGTACCCCCCGCTAATTGATCAAAATCGCCCCGTAGATTTGGATCTTTAATAAAATGATGATCAACGTTTAAAACATAACAAAAAGATCACATTAATATCACGATATAACAAAACAACAATTCCGTATCTTTTCATTCATATTTCCATTTGAAATGACAAGTTAATATCACGATATAACAAAACAACAATTCCGTATCTTTTCATTCATATTTCCATTTGAAATGACAAGTTAGCTTGCTCTGAAAAAAGATGCGGTTTTACGGATTGATTCGATGTCTTATATACTTTTTTTATTAATTTTGCATCGTGTTAACAATCTAACTGGTAATTTTGAATATAGACATGACCAAAACAAGACAAAATAATGTTTTGTTATATCGTGGCACTCGTGTGACATTTTTGTTAGGTTTTTCAACGTTTGTCACCTGGTACAAACCCATGGTACCATTTGCATCAATTACCCGAAATATTCCTTTCCCATTCTCTGCTCTCCGTTTTGCCGTATACAATAATTCCATAAAAACGAATCCAAATCGGCCAGCTGCAGCTATAAAAGCAGACAGGTATGGGGAAAGGTTGCCCAGAACAACAACCCCGCATCGCAAACACAACCCACAACAACAATGAGTTCCCAATCTGGTCCCAGCAGCAAGCTCCCGCTCTTAGATTTCTCTACGCCAGAATCAACAAAAACTGGCAGTTCAGAGTGGGAATCCCTGAAACCACAAGTCCGCAAGGCGCTGGAAGAGTACGGCTGCTTCGAGGCCTGCTTCGACAACATTCCTTCGGACCTTCTCGGCGCTGTTTATCGGTCGACGGAAGAGATTTTCGAGCTGCCTTTGGCGTCCAAACAGCAGAATGTGTCAGAGAAGCCCTACCACGGTTACGTAGGCCACATTGCTCAAGTCCCGCTGTACGAGAGCTTGGGGATAGATGGAGTCACGGTGGGTGAAAGGGTTGAAGCTTTGGCCAACACGATGTGGCCTCAAGGGAACCCAACTTTCAGGTAAATTACTATATTTCTATCATGCTTTAGGGCAATACTTATCGTGTTAGACATGAGCGGCGGGTATGGGTACTCTCGTGGATATAAACCTACTTTGACCTGTCACTTTCTCGACTTATTTTTGGTTAAATTACATGTAATTTTACTTAAATTATTTCGATATTTACTTTTATTATCTTTTTTTTTTTTACTACAATGAAGTTGTAATTGGACGAGAACCTCAATTTCTCGAATAATTTAATTTTGTTTTCTTGGATTTTTAATGAAAAATTGATATTTATAATGTTTTATTTTTAAATTACATATTCATATGAGTCAACCTGCCCCGACCAGTGCCTTATATATACTAAATTACTTGATCTTTCACAGATAGATTGAGTATGGGTAAGACCGTACTCATTTACCTCATAATTGAGTTAACATACCCATCCCAAACCTGTCTCATTTTCATTCCCGGTTCCAAACTGATTAGCTATACATGCCAATCATCAAACTTTCTTGACAGCAAAACTATCGAGTCTTACGCGGAGAAACTTTCAGAATTGGACAAGACCGTAAGGAAGATGATTGCTGAAAGCTTTGGGCTTGAGAAATATATCGATGACCACATCAACTCCACAAGTTACCTACTGCGACTATCAAAATACAACGGTCTGAACACCCCTGGTTCCGAACTTGGTCTTGCCCCACACACAGACAAGAATTGGATGACCATATTGCATCAGGACCAAGTTGAGGGGCTGGAACTGCAAACCAAAGATGGCAGCTGGATTAAATTCCAGTCCTCTACTCCAAACTCTTTCATTGTCATGATTTCTGAATCTCTTGGTGTAAGTATACCTCCGTTGCTATCCAATTTGCAACCTACATTTCTCTCTACAAATTCGTATGTGGTTTTGCAGGCGTGGTTGAATGGTCGACTTGGTGCAACGTGTCATCGAGTTATGATGTACGGAAATGAGGCCAGATATTCTTTGGGTTTATTCTCATTCCCAAAACATGGCTTCGTTATAGAAGTCCCGGATCAAATGGTGGACGAAGAACACCCCTTGCAGTTCAAGCCCTTTTATTATGAAGAGTTTCTTTCCTTCTTCTACACTAAAACTGGCCAAGCAGCACCTTGTGCTTTGCGTGCATTTTGTGGAGTGTAAAAAGTTGCGATATCAAACCTAATCCGAGATAATCGGGTAGGGTAAACTTCGACTCTGAAGGTTTTCAGTGCGAGCGTATGAAATAAATATGAATTTGAATATTGCAGGCAATGAGTGGGCATGATTTCCACACTATTCAACTCGAACTCGTCCGAGTATACGCATGAATATATTTGTATTTTTTTCTAGGAATTAATCATTATTCTTCTCGACATATTTGATATTTACTATACATGTATAATATTTCCATGAAACTGTGTTGTCACTACAAAAAAGACAGACAATTATGACCAAAACTGACTGACGACTATGTTTTTTCGTCGCAAAAACTCATCATTTCCAACAAAAAGTTGAAGTTATTGCAAAAGTACATCAACAGTATAATTTATAGCTGAAAAGTAAAACTGCCACCCCCATTCAAATTTTCTTGTCCATAGAGTGATTTTAGGAAGCTGATGTGGCAGGGTGTTGAGCGGGAAAAAAATAGAACTCCCCGCCAGGTTGCAGAACTAAGAATCGTCCACTACCCACCTTTTTCTTCTGGTTTCCCACGTTATCATTTAGTTATCATTTAATTTTCATTTAATTTTCGTTTGGCTGAAATACCACCTTTTCTACTGGGTTATCCTTTTGCCTACCCGCAGGACAGGAGGAGAATCAGTTTCCATCGGAAAATTCTGGTAAGAGGCGTCACGGTTTCGTGTTCAGCGGAGGAAGGCGCTGACGGCCGGCTGTTGCTGAGTTCATGGGAAGACGACCAGACGTTTTGGTGGTCAGTGGCGGAAAGCAGTGACGGCCCGCTTCTGCTGCGACTGAGGAGATCGCGTTTGGGAGTGCAGCGAACGATCTCCGTGGCGAAGAGGTTGTCGACGATCGAGGCTTTCCCTTCCGGCGAGAAGCACAACTACTGCCGCCGCCACCACCGTCTCCCCCGCCGCCACGAACCCTGCTTCTTCTTTCTTCTCTGCTTCAGCCTCTAGAAGGTCGCTACAAATCGCTCCAGCTACTCGCATCCGTTGAGGAGCCATCGCCGCTGGGCTCGACGCAGCTGCTGCGGCCACTGCCGCCATCAGCGAAGCGCTCATCATCCCCTTCTTATCCCACCCGCTGTCGTTGCTTCCGTTTCCTTCCGCCGAGCACTTCACCACTCTCCCTCTCTTCGCCATCGACGGCAGTCCTGCATATCACCCAATCGATTCAATTTCTTGGTTCCCCCAAGCTGAATTGATAAAAGCCAGAGGTAATTGTGAATTTCAGGGGAGGGGGGCGTCAAGAGTACTCACCGAGAACTGGGGCGGAGGAAACCCCTAGAGAGGGGTTGCGACGGAGAGATGCATGGATGAAGGAAGAAGCTGTGGTTGTGGCGGAGATGGACGCCATTTTTCACACTCTGACCCTGGGAATGAAGGAAGGAAGGGATTAGGACGGTAGCTGGTTCTGTGAGAAACTACTGGAAGTAGTGAGCTTTGCAGAGGTGATATAATTTTCACAGCTTAATACTGACCATAGAATTTGCCCCCATCACAAAGTTCCATGCTAAGTTACTCTCCTTATTGGACCTTTTAGTTGTGTATAATTATTGGTTTCGTGATATGGTATTGGAGATATGAGCAGGTGAGGTTTGGAACGGACCAGAGCATTAGCAGCAGTTGGTTGTGAGATGGTATGTGTAAAATGGAATCATGGTAATTACTTGGCTCTACTCATATAGGTAGGCTATATTTGAACCTCAAGGGAAGAATTCTCTTGCCACTTTTTAAGCTTTTTGTTTAGGTTTCTAACGTCAATGTGTGGCTGCTTTATGTCAACATAATCAAGCTTAATTGAAAGCAATACTTCTCACTTTGTTCACTCAATTTTTCTGTGTTTCACGGCTTTCTTATCTAACTCTTTTGTTTCTAAATTGCCTCTATTTTGGATATAACTTGCAGTTTAGGCTATGCAATCGACAACTAATGATTTAATCCATGACCTTCGGAAGAACGGTTTGAGTTTACATTTTCCTTATGTCATTAGTTCTTATAAGTAATTTGTTGAGTTCTTATGCTAATGTACGGTCTCTTTTTTCTTTTTTTCCTTTAGTAGTTTGGTCCAAGAAATCATGTGATCATTAATTTTTTCTTTAAGATCACTAGGTTCATCGATTTAGTTTGCCAATCAAGCATTTAACCTTCGTTTAGTTCCTAATTGAGAGCGTAAGATCATTTGTATAATAATAATAATAGTACATGCCTCCGATACTGTGTTAAGATGGAACTGAAATGAGTTGGATGTATGTCTTTGTTTGGTCCACTTTTATTCAGTGTTCAAGAAGATGCGATTAATCTCTCGCCTAGGCGCGATTAATAGCTGGGCAGGAGGAAATCGCCCAGTCTAGCTCTGGGCGATTGATCTAGGCACCTGGGCACTCGGAGACGCGTTTTCACTTTGGTGGGCGACGCCCAGAACAACTAATAAAGGGGAAATTGTAGCCTTTTTGTGAAAATCTCAAACCCTATTCTATTTCCCCTTCCACCCGCTTTGTAGCCTCCCCGAGAACCTGCCCAATCCTCGTGGAAGATTGATCAATCTGCACTCGCATTTGCCGGATTTGGTAGGCTAACTGGGTTGCCGGCGCCAATAGTCTCTCGAAGGCCCAGAGGTTTCTATTTTTCCATAGTTGCCAACAGAAAGTAGCGAAGAGGGATGCGTCTACTATGGTATTAATAGTCATCTTTATCACTATGCTTTTCATTTTATTTGTTGCTTCTAATTATAATGATCAACAGATAAGTCAATAAAATATGTGATCGCGTTGACCTATGAATCAATTTGGAATTGTGCAAGTTGTTGAAAATAAACACTATTTCAAGAGACATTGTTTATGCAGGTATAACAGCTCCATTCTCTACTAGCAAAAGCAAAGTCGATCATTTGCCTGGAGGGAGGGAAACATCTTTGAGAATCTTCTTGAAATTCCCCGACTTTTATTGTTGATCATCTGACCTTCCAAAAATAGCGATGAGCATAATGTAATTGTCCATTTTTTTGCAAGAGGATAATAGATTACCAACTAATTCACTAATAATTCTTGAGCTTTACGGATGGTATTCTTTTTAATTAATTTTCTTTATTATATTTATTTATTTTTGTAAATTTTCACTTCATAATGTTAGTATACGTGTAACTATAAACATAATTGTTGAAAGCGTACTAATATTTGTGGATACTCGAAATCTAATATGCTATGAAATAGGTGGCAGACACAAGGACTGTCGTAAATTTAGCATATGTTATACTATCAAGCTAAAAGCCGAGCACAAAGCTAAGAACAAATTTATGGGAACACAAATTTTTGACAAAAAAGTTTTTATTTGTTGGTGGTACATATTTGTTATAATTTTTTAGAATCTTTCAAATGACATAGTAGACAAATCTATAAGTGTTGACTTTTAGATATGAGAGGCAACACCAAAATCAATTATAAAAAATCCATATTGATTTCCTAAAATCATGAATCTTTTTCAGAAACTTAATTTTCACAACAAATGATTGTATGTTTGAACTAAAGAGTGCCTTATTTAATTAAAATTTTGAAGAAATAATTGGAATATTTCAGATATGTCCATTATAATACAATTGTACTATCCGTATACATTAATGTTAGCTATTAACAACCACAACTGCTTTTGGAGATATATATTATTTAAAAGTGAATTATTAGTTAATAATTTTGTATTTTCTCAATTAGTACCTAATGGTTGTCGACCATAAAATTTGAATCCTTTATTTGATAAATTTTTATCCCTCCAAATTACTAATAGGGAAAATCCCTTGGAGTTTATAATTAATACTTCAATGCTTAATTATTTTATTTTCATGGATATAATAGAAAAATAAGTGAATAATATCAAATTTTATGAAGAAATATTTTTTAAGTAATTTATTCTAACAATAGGAAATGATTTTTTTCTTAAATGTAAAAAATATATAGACAACAGTAAGCGATAGCATGATCAATACAAATACTTATAAACTAACTAATGTTACAATCAATAATTCGCGCAAATATTAGTTTCAACCCACTAATAAATTATTTAGATGATCCCAAATTATTTGAAAATATGAAAAATAGATTAATATAAAAATAGAATAAATAAAACTAAATTCATCCGACCAACGGATCGGGTAAAAAGCTAGTATTATTTATGACCAAAAAATGTCCGCGTTGGAAATGACAATAAACTTCGTGGAAAATTATATTTAGGTATAACCGAGGGATCATGGGTCAGTACTTGTGACGAAAATGTTTTTACCATTGCAAATATTTACTATTACTTACAAGGTTAATTGGGGCATCGATAATTTAGATGTCTTTCGACTCATGAATTAATTCGTTGGAATACTTTAATTTTTATGACAAACAATATTCGGTGTCAATAATGTTTCACCGTAACTGTTATTAGTTGCGAGGGTCAAAATATACATCATAACAAATGTTCAATTCCAACCAGCAATTATGATCGTTGCAAACGATTCGTCATAAAATTTGAGTGATGTCGTTTAGTACCCATAGTGCAAATTTTTATGACGAACAATAATCCCTTCATCCCTTCCGATTAAAACTGCATTCATCCCTTCTGAATTAAACTGCAACGATTGTACATACAGCCAAATGGCCTCTGATTTATTGAATTAACGGGAGAATATTCATGTCCTGTAAAACTCCCGAAGTTATGGTTTGCATGCTGGATCCCGTTCTAAAGATGGGATATTAGCGTATCCTGTTGACGGTGAAGCTTGGAGTAATTTGGACAAGTACGATCCAACTTTTGGTGCTGAAGCCCGAAACGTAAGGTTGAGACTAGCTACCGATGGATTCAACCCATTCAGTAATATGAAGAGCACGCACAGTACGTGGCCAGTTCTTCTATTCCTGTATAATCTCCCTCCCTCGAAGTGCATGAAGACACCTTTCACCTTATTGACATTACTCATTCCTGGCCCAAAAGCACCAAAAATAATATTGACATATTTTTTAGACCACCCATTGACGACCTGAAGAATTTGTGGGATGATGGCGTGTTGCATTATGATGCATTTAAGAAGGAGAACTTCATCATGCGAGCAGCAATACTATGGACCATCAACAATTATCCGGCTTATGCTAATCTCTCTGGATGGGCAACAAAAGGTAAATTGGCTTGTCCTTCGTGTGGAGCTGAAACATGGGTTGACGAATGGGCATAAGGAGTGCTATATGTACCATCGTCTT